CGGGCTAGCTTGGCCCAAAGTTAGAGAATCATCATTTCGGAAAATCCCTGTAAATGCACTTTCTTAGTGATTTGATGAACTTAAGACCTCTCTCACTTTTTCCTTTCCATTGTATATACATATGAATGCAATGTACTCACTATAATGTATGACAGAAAGTCCATAATAGACTTTAAGAGTCCTATTTGGTTATTATCTGGTATTTTTCTTGTTATACCAATTTTTTCAGTTTAAGTGTTTCTGGTTTAAAATAACTTAGATCGACTTCTTCCTCGCTTTGTAGATGCACGAGACTTTTAGGTGGCATCTCAAGTCTAGAGTTGTCTAGACGATATCATTCTCCATCTTTTAAAAATATTGATTTTATATTATATTAAAATATTAATGACCCCTTATAAGAAGCGGTTAACCGCAATTATATTCGATGTCCTTTGGGACAGGACAATTATGATTTAGAAAAAAAAGTTATACATTAGGTAATTGGGCGGTTACGAGATGGATAAATTACTCAATGAGGCGGATACTGTTATATGCATAATCGTCCCTACTCACCATATGAGTAAAAATGTTTTGAAATTTTAAAATAAGAATACCATTAAATATGACATGAATAGGAGTACTACAATACTAATGCTTTTGTAACCGATCAGTGTTTTAAAGGTGGAAAGAAAACGCGAGGCTATGTGTGAGGCAGCAAGAAAACGTCTCAGTGTAATAAAAAGGTGTGGAAAAGGCGGCCAATGTTATACTCCGTATGATGAGGGGCGGATCTAGGATTCACGTTCAGGTGGGGCCAAAATTATTTAGAAAACATGTATTTTAAAAAATGTCAAAATGTAGTACTCCCTACTAATGTCAGGAGAGTATGTATTTAACAAAATTTAATTTCATGTGCAATATAACATCTATCACTACATAAATGTAAAAGACAAAACAAATATTATGAGAATAAGATTTTTTGTCAAAATCAAATACATAAAACACCTCAAGCCCATAAACATTGAACTAATATTCACTTTTCAAGCCAAACAAATTGAACAAATTAATTTTTTAGGCTAATATACAAAAGTCCAAAGCATACCCAATATTAGTGTCAAGCCCATTCAATGATTTTAAGTTTCTAGTAATTGATTTTTGGGGATCCAGTTTGAATAGATATATACTTCGTATGAAGGAAGAATCCTTCTCTTTTTCTGGTGTGGGATAACAAGATTCAAGGGGAAAAAAACTGAAATTTTAAAACACAAGCTCTCCATTGCCAAAATAAGAAAGTTTGCTCTCAGTGAGACTCGAACTCAAGTCTCCCAAGTAGCAGACCTGCATACATTGCTACTAAATCCAACTCGCCGTCCTACGTTTTGTGAAACAATCGACTTTGTTGGTTATTATACCATTTTTGCACAACACTATATATATATACGGAGTATATTACTACCTAATATATATACTATAATTTTTTTTTAGCATGGGCCTAGGCCCTCCCTGGACCTAAGGTAGATCCGCCCCTGGTACTATGATACTATCCTCATCCCCAAAAACTTTGTCATTTTCAAAACTTTGACCAATTATATTTTTTTTATTGAAAATTATTTATATTATAAAAATTGTATCAAAATGTTCCTTGTTAAAAGTACTTTCATAAAAGTATAAAATTTATAACTTTCATAATTTTATATTAATCAAAATCATTGTTCAAATTTTTTGAAATGACAAAGTTTTTTGGGACAGAGGTAGTATTTTTTAGACATTTATTCTTTTCCTGCATATATCACTATAAAATAGTAATCAACAATAAAAATCCAACCCATTTTCAGAGTTATACTTCGTCTATTCTCGCCAAGACTTCTGGGTGTTTGGAGCTGATTATGCTTCTGCTTCTTTTTTAAAGTAAAAGCATAATCAGAATCAATTTTCAGAAGCTCGACTCTCCCAACTTCTAAAAAACTGATTCTAGAAGAAAATTAGAGCACCATAATCACTTCTGTATTTTCATTCAAATACTCCAACTTGTGCTTCTCCTGTTTCAAAAAGCAGTTTTAAAATCACATTAAACACCCCCTTCATAGACTTGAGGTTAGGCCTTGACGCCTTACCACATATGTCTCTTAGAACTCTCCTTTTAATAGCGAAATATGACCATATAATTTGAAGATGACAATAATTAAAATTTATTCCGAAAGTATATACCTATATTTCAGAAAAGTAATTTCCTACTTTCGTTAGTTGTATAATAAGAATTTTATTGTGTCTGAAAAAAGAATATTACGGAGTATATTATAAGGTTCGTATCATTACTCTCGTATTTAAAAATTTTGAACAGTATAATTATTACTTTTCTTGAATAAACATGTCTTTAAAAAAGACATTCAAGTTAGTACTTGACGATAGGTCGATATTGAAATGACTTATTTTAATTTACAAATCACCATATTCGATAGATGTACCTCTCTCGTCGGTCTTTGTTGGCATGGCAATTTTGAACGAACAAATTTATAGTTATGGGGCTCTCAAATTTATTTTTTTATAGTTATGGTTTAAACTCACAAATCACAATACCGCAATACGTGGGAGGCAGGAGGGCATATTAAATGCACCAAACTCCCTTTATAATGAACAAATTTATAGTTATGGGGCTCTCAAATTTATTTATTTTAGTTATGGGTTAAACTCACAAATCACAATACCGCAATACGTGGGAGGCAGGAGGGCATTAATGCAATAGGGTTTAATGCACCAAACTCTCTTTTTGAATTATGATATAGAAATTCAGCGCATTAGCTTATGTGATTTACAAAATGCGTTAAATCCTGTATTATAAAAATTAATCTTGCGCAAAATTCCTTCTATGAACAAATTTAATTATCAAATAAAACAAAATTTAGAGATTTTGATAAACTTTCTTGTATATTCAATCATAACACTAAAAAAATGTATTTTGAAATTGTTAAATTTGTTCATAAAGGACTCTGCACATGAATAGTTATAACACGAGGGGTTTGAAGCATTTTTTAAATCACAGAGGCTAATCCGCTGAATTTCTAAATTACGTCGGGTTTGGTTATTAAACCCATTGTTTATAAGTTGCTTTAATTTAAAATAATATGCACTTCAATCACAAATATTACTTCGCATATACAATATATGTATCAGGGTCGTCTAATAATTTTGGAGGCCCCGATTACAAATGTAAAACCGAGACCCAGCATTAATACAAAAACTTAAACAAAATCTCAATATAAATATTTATACTCAAACCAATTGAATACTCATTCAATAATGTAATACTCCGTAATTGTTTTTCTAAAACTTAATACTTTATTTAAAGCAACACAACTCATTTCAAGCAATTCGAATAAAAGAGAACTCAAAGGACCAACAAAAAATGATGGATCTATATTTTTCTTCCTTACTAATTGTACTTTAATATATAATATTACTAATATGTATATATAATCATGTTGAGTCGGGACTCAGGAGGTCCTGAGTCTCCTGACTGAAACCGCTGTGCAAAATTTACTACTCCCTCCGTCCCATTTTACATGTCTTACTTTCCTTTTTGGGTTGTCCCAACATACTCCCTCGGTAACTTTAAAATCTTCTCATTTGAAAAGTAGGTAGATTAAGAATAGTGAAAGAGGATATAAATTATTGAGGGTAAGATGGGAAGATAGTGGAATAGTGTGATGGAAGTAAGGATGAATCCAAAAAAGTAGTTGTAATAGTGTATTATTTTCAAAATTATTGAGGGTATGATGGGAAGAATTAGAAATGGAAAGATTTTTTAGTTATGGATGAAAAAGGAAAGTGTGAAGTTTTTTAAGTTACGGAGGGAGTAAGTGTCATCTTTCCATTTTTGGAAGGAAATATGTGGTTCATAACATTTCACTTTACTATACTCAAATCTCAATAACAAATTTTACTTTTTTAACCACTTTATTAAAAGTTGTGCCAAACCCAAAGGAGACACATAAAATGGGACAGAGGTAGTATATTACAGAGTATTAGGGATGGTTTTAGATGGAAATTTTTTATACAATTTTTTAGCATGTTTTTCATCAAGTCTAAGTCATGCCCACCGAATTACATTTGTAAAAGCTAAAAAATGTATACTTTCATGAGAGCACTTTTCTAAAAAAACATTTTGTCACTTAGACATTAAAGTACTCAATGATATGAAGAAAATGTTTTCTTTTACAAATATTATGACAAAATAATAACAATTATAAATTTACCAAAAATATACAAGATATTAGTTAAAATGATTAACAAAAGTTTATCATCCATGACTAAAATTCAAAGTTGTCTAACCAAAAAAGGACATAGTACTCGTATATATCAAGCACTTACGAGATCAAAGTTAAATAGACTCACTACTAAAACAATCAATTAATTGAAAATATATTAAGAGCCCTTTGGTTAAACTTTATTTCCAACTTATCACTCTTATCCACCGTCTTTTTTTATCAATTATGTAGGTTTTGATGATTTCACACTCCTAATTACTACTCCGTAGTATACACCCGGAGTAATAGATTAAGGGAGGTGTCCCCGATTTGGATTCCGGAGGATTTTAATGGAGTTTAGAAATCCGTCAGAATTCAGGTATCCTCGATTTGGAGTTCTGTGTAATGCATGAAAATAAGGATGTCATCAAACATTCCATAAATTTCTATTGCTACATATTTGGATGAAGTATAATGGATTTTGATGGATTTCTATATACAAAAACATTCCACCACAAATCTTGTAGAATCCCTCAGATTTCAACGGATTTCAAAATTTATTGATCTTTTAAAATCCATTTAACTCATAATAGTCAAAATAACTACGATTGAAGTTAATTATTTTTCTGATTAAACTTACCGTAAAAAGATCATTTTAGCTAGTTTTCACACGGGATTAGTCAATTTCAATGGAGCTTGAATATGAGCATATATGAATATAGCTCCAAAAAGTACCAGTTTCTCTATTCTTGTACCCTTTCAAACCTCTTAAAACAGTGAGCGATAGACAACCAAATCAAAGACACTGAAACAGACGGCATAGTATTCCGAGATTTGAGATTCCAACCAATATAGGTGGTAGCCGTAGAGAACTTTACTGTGACTCGTGAATTAAAACCGCTCTCGGGAATTGAGTGTGTCTATATAAACAATCACCTCTTTCCATCGTTCTCATCAACCCATAAATGCTCTGGCCATAGATTGTTCAAAAAAAGAAGAAAAGGGGCAGAGAAAGACAATGGATTACTATGAAAATGGGTTCTTTGAAGAATTAGTGGCTCTGAGAAGTGATCACCCAGAAATGGGAATGGAAATGGAAATGGGATTGATGAAAAACATCAACAATTATTATAGCAATGATATCGACGGCGGGTGGCTGAGCAGCGATTCCTTCGTGAACCCCACAACACTTCCGCCAATCTCCGCCGTCTCCGCCGCGGACGAGTGTTTCCCGTTTGAGTGGCAGAGCCAAGAGTACTACGGCGGCCCACAATTATTGGGAAATGATGGTGAACTCTGGCCACCTCATTTTGGGGATTCGTTATTGCCATTTCCATCAGAATTGTTGTTGGATCACTTGAGCAGTAGTAGTACATCTTCTTCACAAATGTTGGAGCCGGTACTTCTTGAAACGCCGGCGGGCTCTTTCGGTAACATCGCCGGATGTTGCCCGGAGAAGAAGGAGGAGGAGGCGGTGAAATCGAAGGCGAAGAAGGTCCATGGGCAGCCTTCCAAGAATTTGATGGCTGAGAGAAGGCGGAGAAAGCGGCTTAACGACCGCCTCTCCATGCTCAGATCAGTTGTTCCCAAGATCACCAAGGTCATTAATAAGTCTCTATCTCACAAAATTTAGTTGTAGGAGATTTCCTCCGTCCTCAAGTTAACTTCCGGATTTGACTTCACGGGTTTGAGATAGAAAAAAATAAAATTTGTCTTTCCAAGAATACCAAAGTGGAAGTCCAAATTAGTTAAAGGTGGTAAATGAATAGTAAAAGTAAAGGGTAAATCAGTAGGAATAAAGTAAAGTACGAAATTAATGTTAGAGTATCTCATAAAGGAAAGATGCATGGAAGTTAGTTTTGGAAAGACTAGTTAGTTTGATTGATGACCAATGATATTTTTTAATACTCTGTATAAAATTATTTAGAATATGAAAATTTTGTAAAACTATTTTTGATTAAAGATACTTTTATAAAAGTATAAAATTTATAAATTTCATACTACAATCACTTCAATTAGATGTATTGCTAGAGTATTAAAAAGCTCATAGAAAGTACTTTTTGTAAAGAATACAATACATTTTGGGAAATCATCACAATGTCCCGTACTCACATTGAAATGTAATTTTGTTTTTTCAATTTTATAAATTTCAGCCTTCGATTGTCCAAAAAATGTCATAAATTTGATCATTTGAATGGTGACATTTATGAAAACACAATTTCCAAAAATAATTTAATTACAATTCACACTTGACTATTTCTTTACTAAAATCTATAACTTTTTCATCATACTACTACGTATCAGGCCTTTTTATATCTCACTTCCTTAATCTATGTGTCAAGGTGTTGTAGCTAGCTTTTATTTGTGACTGAGTTTTGATTACATATACTTCCTTTACTCCAATTACTAAAATCACATTTCAATTAGTGAGAAAGTAGTAGTTGTGTGATTAAATTTGGAGTGATAAGAGAAATAATAAGAATAACAAAATGAAAGTTGATAAATTTGGACAGATAATACAACACAGACTTCACCACACTATGGGGTGCTTGGAATTGTTCTGCTTCTTCTACTTCTTTTTTAGAGCATAAGTGGAATCAGAATTAGTTTTCAGAAGCTGGTCTCCCATATCTTCTAGAAAATTTATTCTAGGAATAATTTGGAGCACCAGAAGTACTTCTGCACCTTCACCCAAACACTCTAACTTCTGTTACTGCTTCCTGAAAGAGGAGAAACAACTTTAAGAATCAGATCGAAACACCCCTATAATATCTACCTTATCATGTTCCAATTTTCAACTCTAGGCTAGGGGTGGTGCAGATGAAGGATACTTGCACTACTGTTTATTTGTATATAGTACATTTTGCGTTTATTTTACATTAACACCAATTTACTTTTCCATGTCTCTTTAAATTAAATTTAGTCTAGCCTTAAATCGTAAGTATTAGGATTGTAAATGTCACTTGCGTAGTACTACGTATTAATGTATTATATTGTCACCTTAAATATTACAGTAGTTTATTGTTAGTTTTGAATCAAGGTCAATTCGTACGTATGAAGTATTTAATACTACCTCTAAGGCTCAAATGACTTTAAATTAATACGGAGTATTAAATTAGATGAACACTTCTATCCAAGATTGTTGTGTATTGTTCATGTGAAAGGGATGCTGGAGTACGGAATGTGTTATTCTAATCTTTATCAGATCATTACTAATATCGTCTCATGTTCTATCTATATCTATTTATTTGTTTTGTTCATTAGTTTTCATTGATTTCTCAAATATGATACTATTCAGTAATTTTTTGATGTGGTATTTAGATTTGACATCTCAATATTCCAATTCTTATATGTTTGTACGGCTTCTTGGTCACGTTATGTTCTATCTTAATCAATTGTTTTTCATGTGATATTATGCCCATCAGTCCAATACTCAAAAAATGAATTGGAACCCATTTTTCGTCCAATAATTTATAAGAACAATTGTAACTGTCAAATAAAACAATGCCAATGGAAGGAATTAATAAATTATGTGCATGTTTAATCAGAATACTAATCTAAATTTGTTGTTTCATAATGTCACATGCATAATTAATTGTAAGAAAGATTTTCAAAACCATGCCAATGCAAGGAATTGAATAAATAAACATAATTTGTTTACAAACATAAGAGTTCCCACATTAATCCCATCTTTTTTTGGCTAGGTAGATGGACAGAACATCTATATTGGGGGATACTATAGACTACATGAAGGAGTTGTTAGTGAAAATCAACAATCTGCAAGAAGGAATGGATATGGGGAAGAAGGAGATGGGGATTTTGAAGAATGTAAAACCCAATGAAATGGAGGTTAAAATTTCTCCAAAGGTAAATAATATAATAAATAAAATAATGATTTCTATTTTAATTAAAAGTTGGTAAAATGGTTAGGGTCAAAGTATGATTTAGATTTCCATTTCAGTTTGAGGTGGAAAGCAGTGGGGAGGTTGATACAAAGATAGAGATTTGCTGTGGAGGAAAGCCAGGGCTGTTATTAACCACAGTGGCCACATTGGAGGCTCTAGGCCTTGAGATTGAGCAGTGTGTCATTAGCTGTTTCAATGACTTTTCAATGCAAGCCTCCTGCACTAAGGTAATAAAATACTCTTCTGAAGAGCTTCTTGGTACTTTGGTAGTAGGGTGGGCATTTGGTTTTAAATTCTTTCTCCGTGACAAACTCCAGCCGAATATTTATTTTAGGGCGGACAAAAGTCTTGGTGTCATTGTCTCGTTCCGAAATATCTCGAAAGTGTTCAATCATTGTCTTGTTCTACTTAAGACTTGATCATTTTGTCCCATACCGATTTAAAATGCGGCACGATCGGACCGGGACATCAGAAGATTGCCCTTTTCCGTCACATTGTCCAATTTGTGTGATTATAGAGTTCATTTAGTATTTGACTATTGTATAGTACAAGTTCAAAAAATAAATAATACGGAGTAGTATGCTTTTAGTTTTCCGAGACCAAATTATAAATTTAAACATTAATACCCATCCTAAATTTCTACTAGAGTGTTAGTTTGCGACGTCTCATCAAATTCCGGTGACTTAAATGGGACAAGGGTTAGGACAAATTAAAGGCTTGTTCAGTAACCAATTTGATTAGGACTTCAATAACCTTAATCTCGAACCGTCCCAAACCATGTCCACGTAATTTATTTATTTTGAAACGTCACAAACTAACACCATTATATGGCTGATGAAAATATACACTAGAATTAATGTATATTTGATTGCTTATATTGGATAACATCATGACTTACCAAAAGTGTGAATGTTTTGAATCAACAAATGCAATTACAGTGTGATATGAATAATCTTTTCCATTCGTGCTCTTTAACTTTTGTGATGGTGATAGGAAACGTCGGAGCAGAGAAAAGCCTTAAGTTCAGAAGAAATAAGGCAGGCGCTATTCAGAAATGCTGGATGTGGGGGAAAGTGTTTCTAGTGGATGTCGGGGAAGGAATTGTATGGAGATGGTCTCTGGTTCATATGACATGCATTGAATATTTTTAGTGCTTGTATATAGCAATTGTGTTTTTTTCCTTTTCATTCTAAAATTGTGGGCATTCTATTACTATTGGTCCAAATTCCAAAGAAAGCGCACAAAATGGAAAAATAAGAAAAGTATATCCCAAACAGTGAAGTGTTTAGTCTACCTTCCTCCCGTGTTATGTGTCTTCTTTTGGTTTGACAAAATTATTAATAAAGTAATTTAAAAAATGAAAATTGTGATTCAGATTTGAGTGTAATTTAGTGAAATTTTGTTGAGCAAATATTTATTTCCAAAAAGAATATCACTTATTATGAAGCAATCTAAAAAGAAAAATGTGACAAATAAAATGTGACAGAGCGAGTAATTGTTTACCACTGTCCCCATTACCGACAACCATCACATAGATGTTCTAATAGATATATGTTCATTAAGTAGTACTTCATAAGGGTATTCTCGAAGTTGCAAAACAAAAAAGAGGTGATGATAAACTACGCAAACATTAAAAGGGAGAAAGTATAAATATACCCTTCTAATATAGTTGTGGGAACAAATATACTCATATTCTATTTTTAAAACAAATATACCCCTGAAATTTATGTTAGAGTGCATATATACCCTTGAACTTTTAAAATGTGAAAAATACCCCTCAATTTCCTATAAAGGAGCAAATTTATCTTTATTGACTTTAAATAGATAAAATAAATTTCTGAAAAGATCAAAAATAAATTACGAATTTCAAATTGAAAACAAAAAACTACTTGTGTCCAATTCTCCCTTTTTATTATTTTTATACCACAATTTAATATTGTTAGTATAAATTTTATTTCAATATTTTATTATATATTTAAGATTATTTTGAAAAAGTATTAATATATGCGTTGCAACGTAAAAGAAATATTAATTATTGAATTCTTTGCACTATAAAGTTACATATCTGTATGATAATAAATAGTTCAAGAGTGAATTTAATTTTATTAAGCTTAAACAAAACCAAAGAATGTTATTTCAAAAAATGTAACAATGTGCTCGAAATTTCACAACAAGCCTAAAATTAATATTTATGAATTTGAGATGCTTCATTTATAATGGAAAAACAATAATTTTGCAATTTAAAGTTAAAGAGTTATTATATTAACATAAAAACAAAAATCTTTATTTTTAACTCATTAATTTGTATTTTTCAATTTTGAATATACAATTTTTTAGTGTTTTTTTTTAAATTTATTTTTATTATTTGAGTCAATGAAGGTAAATTTGCTCCTTTATAGGAACAACAAGGATATTTTTGCACTTTTTTAAAAGTTCAAGGATGTATATGCACCTCCACATAAACTCCATTGGTACATTTGTGCCAAAAAATAGAACATGTGTATACTTGTTTTCACAAATATACTACAAAGGTATATTTGTACCTTCCCAACATTAAAATCACAAAACTAAAACTATTTTTTGGAAGAAGGTGACTTATATTGATAAGAATGAACATCACCAAGTAACAATCAGAAAAAGAACCCTATGTCTACCGTCTGCCCTTGAACCAGACTTAGAACCTGCCACCTCCATAGAAGCAACCAGATTCGCTGATTCCAAATTGGGCATACCTGAGCCAATGACGGGCAAACTAGGTTCTTCATCATCTGTCCTATGCTCAAGAGTCTTGACAAAAATCACAAAACTGAAACTATGAAAGAATAGAAAATAAAATCTGAAAACAAGAAATTAGGGGTGGGCGCGGTCCGGAACGGTCCGGTAAACTAGTAAAACCCGTAATGTTAACGGTTCGGTACGGTCCGGTTTCAAGGATGAAATCGTTCGGTTCCACGCCGTTTCGGAATGGTACAAAACGGTACGGTACAATGTCAAACACATGCTAAAATTTTTGAACAAATCTTGCAATTAGTAGATATCTTGACAACAGCCAACTCACTTGTAATATATGTTGATATAAATACAAGAAATTGCATATGTAGTACTAAAGTTCACAAGTACACAAATATTGCAACACAACCAAGAAAAAGTATAGCAAAATGATGACACACGAGATAAATATCATCTTTAATTTACTAAGTTCATATGAAAATATAAAAAAATATCATCAAATTGTTGAATATAACAGAAATCTTCAATGTTCTTCTTCTTCAATCTAGGTTAAATATTTCTCCGTAGTTCTAATTTAATTTATTATAGTTGAAACTTGAGAGCTAATATTTAAACCAGATTAGTTATGTTGTAAGATTGCGCAAACATGATACTACAAAAAGTCATGTACACTACATTACTAGAAATGAATAGTCTTTAATGATTTCCAAAATTTTAATATTCTTTCAATACATATCAAAATATAACATAAATTATCTAAAAAGAAAAAATAACAATATATATAGGGAAAGTTCCCGAAATGGGACTAAAACAGTTTGAAAATTCCAAAACAGGACTGCCATGTTTTTATTCTCAACATAGGAGTAATTACTGTCAAGTTTGGAAAATACTGTCATGTTTTAAGTCTGGTACTGCCAAAACATGACAGTAATTAGTCCTATTTTGAGAATAAAAACACGACAGTCCCATGTTTGGAATTTTCAAACCTATTTAGTCCCATTTCGGGTAATATCTCATATATATATAATCTAAACACACACATTTAGCTAGTTTAGGAGCAGATGAATATATAATCTATTGGTATAGAAAAATTATAAAAAATTCAAATACATTATTTTCGAACGGTTCGGTCCGGTATTTTTCGGTTCTCAAAATCTAGGACCGGTCCCGTACCCGTTTCAAACGGTTCGGTTTCAGTACGGGACAAAAATCTATAGAACCGTTTAAATACCCGGTATCCGGTTCGGTATAGTACCATTACGGGACGGTTCGGTACCGGTTCGGTTCGGGTTTTATGCCCACCCCTACAAGAAATAGGTTCCATATATAATTTTGATACCATGTGGAATTCTTAGAGCCCGTTTCATAACACTGAGAGCCCGTTTCGTAATACCAAAATCAACTGAATCGGTTAGAACTTGTGAAGTTCTGGTTGAGATGGTTAAATGATTGATTCTGTTGATTTATGTAAAAATTATACTTAGAATATATTTTATTGATAAAATAAAGAAAAAGTTATATGAAAAGTAGTTAAAATGATCCTATACAATAACTTCAACTAATACGGTCAGAAAATTAAATTAAAAAATAGGGCCGGGTCACCAAATGGAGCCTAATATCATAATGCATAGTTGATATTTGGTTTGATTCGTTTGGAGTTCTTTCTAGAGATGGTATAAATTTAAAAAAAAAATGATTGTTTCCCCAAAATAAATAAAAGTCATCACTTCCCTCTAAAATTTAGTCTAGCCCCTAACCTTCTAGGCCTCTAAAATTAGGGTCCATAGAAACTTTGCAAGGAAAGTGGAAAAATTATTTGTTTGGAAGGATAGAGACAAACTGACCCTGTTTCCTTTCTTCGAAAAGTAAAGAAGCTTTGTATAGTAAATTAGGAACCAAACGTGCTCTAAACGGAGAAGGATGATTTAGATTTTAGAATAGATATGTTCAAGAGTCACTGGTATTTCTTTAATGTTATTCTAAACATGATGGACCATGTTTTTTCTTGCGAGAAAGATAGTGAAACATGTTACATATTGGTATTTTTCTAAATTTTGATTGAATGTTGATTTTACCAGTTATCTATTTATCTTCTTGATTATTCAAAAGTCATCATATTAATTTATTTTTTAATGAAAATCGGTTATATCATTTGAATTTATTGTGGAACTTTGTTGCCTTCTGCATATAGGGTACGTGTTGGTATGTTTTTTGGCCTCCGGTGAGATAATTTATAACACTTGAGAGCTGCAGCCAGTGGTGAGTCAAACCTCACGTCCACCTAGTATAAGAAATAGTTTGTTTCATGTGGAGGTTTCTGGGAGTGAGTTTTTGTGACCATGGGATGTGAAGTCCATCCCAGTTGTGTGTCCTCTTGAACTGTGTTTGCTGTTATTGAAGCAATGACGTTGAATATCATCATTGGACAAGTTTGGGACTATTGTAGAATAAACTTCGGGGGATCGGAAATACAATCATCATCTCCAATAGCATTCACATCAGTTGGCACCATCAATAGGGGATGAACAATCCATGCCGTTACTGTCTTACATGTAGCCAAAATGTCTACATACTAAATATATTCACAAATCCCCCTCCTCACAGTGGACTCAACATGACCAAAATGTCTACTCACCTCAGTTCACATAAAAAATGATTGCCCAAAAATGACACTACAAGAAATAGTATTATTTGCGTCGACGGAAGTGGACACAAATAACTCTCTTTTTTGCGTCGACAAGTGGACACAAAAGATGATAAAGAATTTTCCGTTAAAACCTCATACAATTTCATTATTTCCGTCAACTTGTGGCCGTTAAAATATTGTAATTACATTTGTGTTGGTTGTCTCCACCCAAAAATAGTGGGTGGTGATAATTTTTTGTCCAATTTACAGTCCAATTTACATCCTCTCATCGTGTCGTCTGGTCGGTGTTGGGGGGCCCTCAGGGATGGGGTGTCATCCTTTTTTTTGTCCAAAATGTTAAACAGCACAGTTATCTTCAAGAATTCATTTGAATGCCTTCTCGATTGAATTTTTAGCTGAAATTTGGTATGAGTAAACTAGACTTAATGAATAAGATGCTCAAAAAGTTTCATAAAAAAATGCTACCGGGAACCGCCTCAAATGGACGACCGGACAGAGCCTCTTATATAAGGGGTTATTTGACCTTTTTATGTAAGTACAAGAGCCTATCTAACCCTTTTCCCCATTATTAATAAGGTTATCTGTTCTTTATCAAATATGTGATCAAGATCTAGTGTAAGCTCGCTCTCACTTTGAAATATTTCTAAATACGCCACATTGAAAGCTTAATTCTAAAATCGTCCAAACATGGGGATAAAATATTGTGTTTGTACCCACTCATTATTGTCACCTTATACCCACCAATGTGAGAGGACTATTTTTGTGAGCGAATCACGTTCACAGACAAAACATGGATTGTTTTGTCTGTGAACGACATTCACGGACAAAAAATAGTCTTCCCACATTGATGGGTATAAGAGGCTACGTATAAAGGTGTGTACAAGTAGCAAAACTGTATAGGGACAAAGGGCATGTGCCTATGGATGTTTTACTTGGACTATAATCTATCCCAGACCAGGCCAGATCAGACTAGAACAGACCAGATCTGACTTGGGTA